TTCCACATTAGCACTTCAGAAAAATAAGGCTGACCAGGAGATCTGATCCCTTTGAGCACAGTTGCGAGGGAACCCATAACCACAGCACCAGTGTTTTTCCACCCCTCTTTGCTGGCTCTCAGCAGCAACCATGAATAACAAGCAGGAAAAACAGAGGCAGGTTTTGAAGAGAAATGAGGGCAGAGGAGGGGGGGAGGGAGGCGGGCCCATTTTATGCAAGAGTGGGTATAAAAGGGGGAGCAGAGTACCCCTCCAAAATTGCAAAGAGTGGGGCAAAAGAAGAGCACGAACCTCATCGCTGAAGAACAGGTTTGAGAGGTCTATGTTTCTTTGTACCTTTATTGTGGCTGTTGCAGGGAGAGATTCATTAGGAAATGTGTGGGCCATGAGCTAGTTTTGCACAGGGGATGCTTGTAGGAACAGCCTTTCTTTCACCTTTGGTTCCTTTTTGCCAGAAAGCTTTTTGTCCGAGTTTGGCCCAAAGCGGGTTTTCTGGCACAGCTCTCTTTAGGGGACAAAATCCTTGGACAACAGAGCTGAAGGGCAGGATAGAGACTCTTCTTTCTGAAGTCGAAGCTTTATCTTTAAGTGCACGCTCATTCCTAAAACCATGCCAACCCAATAAGAAAAAAGCCTCACAACAGAATCCACATCTAGTAATTGGAATAATGCTCATGCACTCCTGCTTAAAAATGGCTCAGAAGTAAAATGAAAGACTAACTGTAATTACATACTACCAGGATAAAATATGTTGCGGGTGTGGCAGGCTATGTTCTCCATAGTCTGAAACCTTCTCCTTTTGGTAGAAACTGTTAGAAGATAAAAGACAAAGATCTAAGAAGTGCGCTAGTGTGTGATGCATCTTAATAGGGGAATATTAATTGAGTGAGCATAAGTGATTGGCAAATGAGGGGAGAGCTGTGTCTGAGCTTTGTAGTAGGGCATGAACGTAAGGTGAAATCAAAGGTTCTCCCTCATTACTGAAGCCAGCCAAATTCCCGGTGGTCTGAAGCAGGAGGAGCACTGTCGTGAAACCAGGACATTGAATATTTCCTCATGAAACTTTTTTCTGGAGAAAGCTGAGTGTTATAATTTGATGACTCTATGGATGGGGGGAGGAGGGCAGGGAAGAGTGGGGAAGATAGAATTCTGTGCTTCTCAAGGGCATTGACAATTTTTTTACTGACAGAAAACAATAGAACTGAGTGTGCAAACACCAGAAGAGACCCAAAGGTCAACTTGTCTGAAAAACCTGAGAACATTCAACTAAACTGAACTTTGTTTTATGTGACAGAGCCACCAAACCACCATGCTGGAGTTATTGTTCAGGTGCCTCCTGCTCCCCCTCTTCTGCAGGGCAACATCCCCTGCAACCAGGGATGCCTGACTTAGGGCTGGTACCTACAGCAAAAGAAGACCACCAGCTGCAGCATAGCTTGGTCATGACCTGCAGGGGAGCTGGAAGTAGGAGATAACCTGAACAACACTGCCCTAAGGGTGCTACAGCACAGGGGCATAATGATTTCAGGGAAAAAAAAATACAGTGGCTGCATGTTTTGTGATTTCCCCTTCCAGGGTTTATTGTCCACAGCAAACATGTAAGTCTGGCAGCTGTACTATATGTTATTAGCATCACTTGTAGCTTATTAGTCAAAGGCAATAATTCTTTTTAATAAGGATACTTTTCAGAGTTTTACAGAACACAAAGTGCCCTTCACTGAAACAGCCGTCATTTGTGTTTCCTCAATACAGAGAGTAACCTTAGTATAGAGAGTGTCCTCAGCCAGGCTGGGTTTGCTTTTTCCCTGTATTCAGGCCTCATCTAGGAGGACACAGCAGACCAGCTATAGCTCACAGACCTGGCATTGTCTGGCCATTTGTGCATGCTGCAGATGCCTAGTGCCTCATGGCAACCCGCATGGGTGGTGGTTCTGGAGATAGAGATTTGGCCTGTTCTCATGTCCCACCCACACCTCCCCTGGCCTCTAAGGGACCAGCTGTCTCCCCCAGCCTGCCTGCAGGAAGGACTCTCTAGGGGAGAGAGGAAAGAAGGGGGATTGCAACCTGAAACGTATCTTGTTCTCTTAACATTTAGCTGAACAAAACGCATTTTTCACGGAGGAACTACTTCTCCTATTGTCTGTATACACAGATGAGCTGCATGCATTTCATACCTGTCTGGGGATGGTACAAATGCTCAGAGACTGTTCTGCAGCCAGAAGCTTACTTAACTGAGATGCTCAGGCAGCAAGAGGACAAAACGCCTTGAATATTTCAAGCTGTTTGTTTAAGCCTTCAGTGCATGATGGCATCTCATACAAGTCTGGGCTCAGAACCACTTTCAGACCTCATTAGAGCAAAGCTAGTCAGTTTATTTAAATGAAAAGCAAGACTTCAGAGACTGAAATTTCCCATCTCTTTGGCATTAGGCACCTGGCACACAGCCCTTGGGCTGGCAGGCTCGGTTGTCTCTGTCTCCACCTTCATCTCCACCAGCTCCACTGGCCAGGTGCACTGAAAACATCTGTCTCTAGAGCCTCTCTCCTTGAACCCAACATGTAACTGGGCACTGCAGTACAAATCATGCCTGAGTGGCCCTCTAAAATCAAAGCATAGATGACAAATCCACCCTACTCCTGTTAGAGCTGTGGAATTATAATTACTAAGCATAACAGGGGCACTGAACGAGACCCAGTGTAACCATCTAAACATTATCCCTGTTTTGATTCAGTGTTAATTTGCTTAAAGAGGAAGAAGGGGAACACCAAAATTGGAAGATAGTTTCAAAAGCAGCAGAAAGATCTCTAAATCCCACCCTTTTTGCCAAATAGGACTTGGAAGGCTGAGACTGAGAGGGATGAAATCTCTATGATCCAGCTCTGGCAACCTTATCCATCTGGCTCTCATCTTCTCCTTTCCAACATATTTTGTTTTGAAGAAGAAAAAGAACAAAGCTTTGACATTCTGGACAGATCAAGAGGGAAAGAAAGGGTAAAAATGGAGAGCTTAGTCACTTTACTCTGTAATAACGTACATGCCTCACACACTGATGGGTACCGAGGCTGCAAGGTAGAGATTAAAGGTGCTTTATCCAAGAAGACAAAAATCTCGTCCAACTGTACAACAAATATACGTACAAAGAAATCTGCATTCCTTTCAGTCTGGCATAAAATGAGCTATTTTCAGCTCCTGTAATCAGTTATTCTGCATAGTAAAATGCCTGTGTCTGTCTTAGTAAATATGTAACTGCAGGCTACACAAGTGTGCTGGGTCTGGTTAAAGGTTGTGTATCCATCCCTGGAACTTTCTACACAGCTGGTGTTAAGCTGGGCTCAGGTTTCATTGGGCCCTGTCTGGCCTGAGCTCACTTTTTTCAGCCCCCCAGCCTGTGATGTAAAGTAGCTTTGCGCAATGCTGCTGCAGACATGTAGAAAGGGCCCTCCGGTAGAAAGGGCATAAATCCACCTGCAGTCACACCACCCCAGGGGGAAGAGGTACCGTGGGGAGCTCGCCTGAGGGGTAACAGTGTCGGAGGGGCAGCGGAAGGGCTTCACACACCAGGACAGAGGCAAGTAAGCACTTGGATTTTCTTGGAATGCTAGTTTTCAACTCAGGTGTTCATGCTTTTCTGAAGGGCTTGGGGCTGTCTTCTTTACGGAAATAAACCAGGCAGACTTTCCACAGATGGGTCTTAGCGTAAGTGCTGGCAGTGAGAACTGCTCCTCTTACTTCTGCTCATGAGAAAAGAGCTGAACTGGGGGCTCTGGCAGCCGTAGGGAAGTAACCGCTGGGCACCAGTGGCGCGTAATGGCACAGCCTGCCTGGGTGGCACAGAGTGACCCTCCCTGCTGCTGCAGGAAGGATTAGGAAATGCCTCAAAAGAATTGTATATGGAGAGAACAGTGCGGGCAGTGCTTCTAATCTGTGGCTTTTTGGTTCATTTTCCCGAGCTGTCCCAATATCAAAAATGTATCACATAGTCTAGAAATTCACTAGCACAGTGGATGGGCTGTCTGTGAAGATGAAGTTGGGAAGGCATCTCCAAAGATAATTTTTTAACTGGTCACCTGCTGCCAGCAGGGCTGGGGAGGCAAAGAGAGGACAGGGAGCAGAGGGAACAGCAGCAGAACTGTGCTGCCTGTAAAATAATTTAGAGGATGAGGTGGGACACAATGGGGTAGAACAATCCTTGGATGAAGGCACAGGGCCAGAGATCTACAGCAGGTCCTCCCCTTCATGCCTCTGGGGAGCAAACAGTTTCAGGCCTTATGTGCAGGCACTCTCTAGGAAGACACTTAGACATCACAGCAGCAGAAACTCCATTTTCAAACCAAGCTGTTAGAAGAGTCTAAAGACTGAGAATGTAGATGTGCACATGAGCAGGCATACATACTTTGCAAGGTATGTCTAGTTGTCAAGCATCTGCACATCTCAGTTTTTGGAGGAGCAAGAGAGTAGTGATACTGCAAACTGGAGTATTATTAGGCATAAAACACTTGGGGACCCCTCAAGGGAATTAATATGTTTATACATTGTAAATCAGGCTGGGAAAGTGCCGGGTCTTTGGCTGGATTTAAACCCAAACACTTCTACCCTGTGTAAATTAAAGTGCTGGTGAGACAGACATTGCTCTGTGTCCTCTCAGAAGGCTACTGGAATTACAATATCTGACAGACTGGTGTGACTTGAAATGTCTTGGAGAACGCAAGCAGAGAGCAGAGCTTCGGTGCTCACAAGGCTTATAGCATTCTGTCCATTCAATGAGCTCTACAGAAATTAGAAAAGCTGAAGAAGGTGAACAGAGCTGCAATGAACAAGAAATTAATAGTAGAATAAAAATACAGCTCTGAATAACAGAATTTTGGCCAATGATAAGTTTTATAGATGCATAATTTTCAACATATTTGGATTTCAAATACAGAAATTAAAAGTCATATACTGGAAATCCAAGAATGCTACTGCAGAACTGTTAGTTATCAAAAAATTAGATATAGGAAAAGTGAGAATTCTAAAAATGTAAAATTTGTCAGTGGGTATACCTGTGTGTGTCTGTTTATGTGTACCTATGACTTTCTCATTCCCAATATGCACTAGATCCTTTGGGCCAAAACACCAGTGACATCCACATACAGTGAAAATCTCTGCTTCTCGTCAGGAAAAACAAGAGCAGCAGGTGCTCTTTTACCGCAGGAGAAGACTGTGTGTACAGCAGAGTTAAACTCAGCTTACCCCTTCTAACTCTGTACTCAGATATAAAAGGTGTTATGAAAATGGTTTCAGTGTTAGCACATTTGTATAAGGGAGCCTGGAGTGTGTTTGCCTAGAAGCTAGAATGAATGTTTTCACTGGGCTATGAAAATGTAACATGCTCTATTAGTGCCAAGTATTTTGCTGACTAGGCATACAAAAGAGGATTGTTCCATGTTTGGACCTTAAGAGAGCTGGTTTCCAAACCCACTTCCTGCATAACAGCAGGCAAATGGCTTAGCCCGTCCATGTGTCAGGAAGACTCAGTGTGGCAGTTTGCAGAGATAGCTCTGACCAGGTCCCAGGAACAAATGTTGTTGCATTATTATAATGTTTTGCAGAAGTAGTGTGCTCTAGTTTGCAGGCCTAACCAGCCTGTGCAACCATATTGCTTGCCATGCTAAATTGTTGGGGTACTGCAGTGGGTAATGGAGTCACATCTGTGCTTAGCATTTCCCCACCTGCTGCCATTGAAACTGGTGTCCGTCTCATCCTGGGCTTTTCAGGGAACGGAGTCAGACCAGCCACCACTAAATACTGAAATTCCCACCTTTGTAAGTCCAATGCAGCACTAACACCTCATCCTGTGATTAAGAGAAACTGTACTTAAAACAAGCTGACCAATCTTCTTTTCTCCTCAGTTTTTCTTTCAGCAGACACCGTGGAGGCAATTTTCCAACATGAATCTGGTAGCAGATCTTCTCTGTTTGTTGGCTTGCCTTACCCTGGTGACTTGTGACAGGGTCTACGTCCACCCTTTCAATTTGTTTTCTTTCAACGAGAGTGACTGTGACAAGCCAGAAAAATTGGTTCAGGAGGGAAAGATGAAAACTATTGTCCCCGTCTCCATTGAGTCTCAAACCACACCTGCCTACGAAGATGACTTGAATGACAAGGACACGTTGGAACCCCTGAGCCTAAATGGCTGGGGGAAGGAGGAACCAGGCTACATGAAGGACTTGGTGTACATCCTGGGAGTGCGGTTTTACAGCATGCTGCGGAAAGCGCGGCAGGGCCAAAATGTGCTTCTGTCCCCAACCAGTCTTTACAGTTCCTTGGTGTCTTTCTACCTGGGTGCCTCAAACCAAACAGCACTTGATTTGCAGGGTTTGCTGGGACTTGTTCCCCCCTCTGGAAACCCTGACTGCACTTCCAGGGCAGTGGGAAGCAATTTCCTTTCCAGCCTGAGGACAATCGAAAGCCTCATGAAGAGTAGGGACGAGGAGCTGCTCTTTTCCAAGACACTCTGCCTGTTCTCTGCCCCTGGAATACCTTTATTTGAACTGTTCATGCAGGACTTGCTCCACTCTGCTGATGCTTTCTACGCCCGAGCTGTTGACTTCACAAATCCAAGTGAGGCAGCAAAACAAATAAATGCCTTTGTGGAGGCCAAAAGCAAGGGCCAAAGCAAGCGCTTACTGACAGATATCAATCCATCTGCAGACCTGCTGTTTGCGGTGGACGTCTGCTTGGCAGGTATGAGGCAGCACTGCTTATTTTGGGAGCAGGTGGGGTGAAGGGCAGGCAGTGTGGCCCTGCTGCCAGGAAAGAAGCAAGGCCACTCCTGGCCAGTGGTGAAAGGGAAGGGCTCAGATGAAACGCTGGACCACTGCTCCCCACCACTGTGCTGGGGGTCCTGCCTGCACTCTGCCACAAGCCAGTAAGGGCAATGGGAAGGAGGTGGAGGGAGATGGCGTTGCAGAAATTTTCCTTTTCCGGGAAGCTAAGGATTAGGAAAGGTATGGGAAGGTGCATGAGAGACAATTGCGCAGCATTTCTGACTAGTAGGTAAAGGAACTAAAAGTAATGAGAGACCTCTGTCAAAAATGATCAGGAAGTAGCTTTAAAGGAAGCCAAAGAAATACTTTTCCCAAGAACCTGTATTTCCACAGGGGAGCTGGGGGTAGAAGGCCAGAGGTAGATACAAGAAAGGCTAAAAAATATAATGGACATGACTTGTCTAATGGCTATTAAACATAGAGGTCTGGAGGCAACATCTTGCTCAGGAAGCAACCAAACAAGCTATCAGTTATGGAAGCGAGGAAGAATATACAAATCTGGAAGAAATAAGGCAATACCTTAGTCACCTAGGGTCATTCCATGCTGCTGTCCCAGAAATTTCCCTGCACTACAACTGAGCCTTCTCTTCTGAGTGGAGATGCTTTCCAATATCCTTGTGACTCAATGCAGTACCAGAGACCACATACTTTAGACAGCTTACCTACCCTGTGACGGTATCTCAAATAAACTTGCAGTGAGCCCTAAGTTTCTGAGTGGGCCTCTAGTCTTAAAGGAAGAGTTGTGGTGCCCATGAAATCCTTTCATGCCTCCATCTTCCTACCTCTAAACTGGATATCAGGTTTTCTTTGCCTTTCATGGGTGCTGTCATTACTTGATCCCAGCTCCTCAGGGAGCTGTGAACATCAGCTTTGTCTTCAGTGTAAGGTCGAGCATAGAGATGATACTGCAAAAATAATTCTTGTGTTACAGACTTGAACATGGTAATAAGATCAGTTTTCCTTTAGCAGAAAAAATTTTTGTCTTCTTCTGTATTGGAAACTTGCAATTTTTATTAGCTTAGGAACACATGCTTGAGGGTCTGAGTCACTGGCTCAGTTCTACTACCTTCTTTCTCTGAGAAGGGTGCACTTGAGATGTACAGTCTCCACACATGGGATAGAGAAAATTGGCTCAAGAACAAATGAATTAGTTAAGTGACTCTCTTCTAATAAACACAGGAGATGACTTCAGCATTTTCTTTGTCTTTTGGTTGTGAAGGGGCAACCATGACAGCCAATGCCGTTACACTTGATATCTGTCCCTATAGCTGCAGAAAGGAAAAACTAAGTTTTTTTCTCTGAAACACGATATACGCTCCTGAGATGCTATTAACAGCCATAGTATCAATAAAGTGACAGAAATCCATACAAGACAACAGCTAAATGTTCCAGTGGTCTCATCTGTTCTTCACTTGCACACAGATTTTTTCATATTTGTAGACTTGCTGCTGAGCAGGGCCTGCCATTTAGAATCCAATGCAGAACATCAGGCGCAAGTTTCACTGATAGACTTTGTGTTTAGTTGTTTGGGTTTTTCCCTTTAGTTACAAAAGAATTACAAAGCAATGTATAAAAATAGCACCGTGGGTCTTCACAATCTTAAGCACCTCTACCTTCTGCTGGTTAAACTGTCTTTAACAGATAATCCTCAACAGCTTCAGTTTTAACTAGAAATTTGTTAAGATGCTTTTTGCTTTTTTTTTTGCTTTTAAGTAAGAAGCCATAACTTTTCACAGAAAGTCATCCTCTCTTTAGGCTTGTCAGGCCAGCATGAAGCCTGTATTACAGAACATGGAGATCATCACCTGAAGCAGAGAGGTCCAATGTTTCTTTTCTGTACTCCCAAGTTAGTATTGCAAAGTACTCTTTTACCCTCCCAAGGTACATCTTTGCTCTGTGACTGACAGCCTTTTCCACTTCAGTTATCTTCCCTACAGTGTAGACACATTTCTTTTCTGCTCCAATATGGTTGCTGAATGGTTGCCCAAACCCAAGGCTTCTTCGATGTCCTGATGCGAGAGATCTCACTGTAAGAAACCATTTCTTCCAATGTGTCAGCTATCACCTTCTATAGAAGGAAACAGTCATATTAAGATCTTAACATCTTTTAGAGCACTTTCAGGAGAGTTTGCACCACCCAGTTATACATTTGAGAGCGCAGATGTCCAGACGCTCATCTAGCAGGGAGCCATTTCAAAAGCAGGGGTGCTGATTATCCATTGTTCTCAACTGGCACAATGTTAAGGGACTCGGTCCCAAAGTCAGTAGCAGAGTTTTGCAATTCTGCAATATTTTCCCAAGATTACTTAAAAGCAATTACAGGTGAACATCTCTACTTCTTTATTCTTTGTTTTGCTTACACTTTTCCCATCTCTACCTGCTGCTTCTTTTGGTGAAATTAGAGTAGGTAAAGGTGTCTAAATGTTCTTTTAATGCAAGCTCATTTAAGAGGCAAGTACTCCTATGCAAAACCACTTACTACCTATTAAATATGTTAGGGCCCAGCATTTATCTGGATTTATTGGAGAATAGATTAGTTAACAGTACAGTTGGACCAGCTCCTATTTTAATTAATGTACCAATATTAATTACATTAATGTAAGGAGTTCCTTTCTTTATTACAAAATATACATCTGTTTTCCTAATTCCCTAATTCCACCAAACAATTTTGAGATTTCTGATCTTTGCCCCCTCGCTGACACCAGTTGTTTCTTCAATGCTAACAGGATTATCTGCCTAACTGGGCAGCAGCACAGATCTATGGCTGTGAGCAGATAACATTTTGAAATGCAAAGCTGCATAGAAATAGTGGGAGGCAAGAGCAAGGTATGCCATAGTAGTGAACCAGGAAAGAAACTTCTGTTAAGGTTTAGTAAGTGTTCAACCTCCTTGGCTCAACCAACATTTTGGTGTTATGCTTACAACCTTCCCCATTAGTTTGTAAGATTGTGAAGGGTGAGACCTCAGGCAGAATTTGTGCTGTCTTCCCTCTCCCAAGTCCACCACGCTGCCTGAGGGTGCTCCTGCAGTAAGGGCTGGCCCTGATGGATGTGCTTCCAAACGTGCCATCATCACCGCTTGAGGGATGGACAGGAAATCAAGCAGACCCTCCGCACAGGCCTCTGAGCCCTCGAGGGGCCACGTGGCAGCCTGTGAGGAAGCAGACAGCCAAGCAAGCAGAAACACTGTGCCCAAGAAAGGCCACAAAGCCAGTAGAAATACAGCAGCTTTAGTCACAGTGGGTCCCTGTGCTGTGATGCACCAGAAGACATATTAAAGGGAGGATACATATGTTTACAGTAGTTAAATGTGATTTTATACTCACAGTCCTTTTCTAAGGCACAGCATGTTGTTTTTAAACAAACATATATGCCAGCTAAGGGGCAGAGGGGAGGAGGGAAGAAAAAGAAGAATCAATTTCTTCTTTCTCAATCTGTTTTTCAGTGAAGGTTAAGCAAGCCTTCCAGCTGAAAGAGCCTCAGGAGTTCTGGATGGATTCAAACACAAATGTCTTGGTCCCTATGTTGTCCATCATGGGGACATTCCAGTACAAAACTGATGCCAGTGGGACTTTCTCTGTGGTAGAAGTCCCCATCAGCAAGACGGCACTGCTGGTGCTGCTGCAGCCCATCAATGGCAGTGACCCGGAGCACGTGGAGTCTGAGCTGACATGGCAGTCCTCAGCCTGGCTTCAGCGGCTGTCCCCAAGGTAGGGATGAACGGGTTTGGGGTCCACCACACAGGCCCGCCTGCTTGCTGACAGGGGTTGGATCCAGCCAGGGAGAGTTTACTACCGAACACAAAGAGAAACCCCTGCAAACCCTAAGGCCGCACTTCAAGGAAGCTCAACTTTGGTGGGGCCTTTTACCTGGGGGTATTTCCAGGAAACAAGCAAGTACCTTTGCGGAGCTGACCCATGAAGTGGTATGATCTGGGGTTTAATAGAGTACCCAGGGTGAAGTCAGGGTGAGTTCACACTTGGAAATAGTAACAAGGCACCCATTGGTGTCTGTCCCCACATACAAAGCACTTCTTGCAGCTGTTTTCACAGCTTCCACCCATTCCTCAGGACTGCCCAAACACCATGCTTTCACAGTGGAGAACAAGCACTCACTTGCCTCTCTCTTTCCCGCTCTTTTCTGCAGAGAAATTAAATTAACGCTGCCGGCATTAAGAATAGAAGACAGCTCTGATCTACAGGAGCTTCTTGCAGATATGGAACTGCCGGCACTGCTGGGGAAGGGGGCAGATTTCAGTAAAATAAGCAACACCAATCTAACAATTGGAAAGGTACAGTACCTCTTACTGGCACTAAAAAAAAAAAGCATGCTTCCTGCTCAGTTTTAGCCTCATAAACTGAATAAATTTACCTAGAACAAAGCAGTCAGACCCATATGGGGGACATATTTAGTAGGGGACTTGCAGTATGACTGAAAGATGCAGATATTCCTTAGATTAATTTATCAGCAATAGGTTTTCCCTAAACTACTTAAATTTCATCACTATAGCATACAGCATATTCAAGATCTGAGTGCTCTAGGCCCTGTACATACAAATTAGACTACATTCAGTACTACCTCCAGTTCAAACAGCTGGAGCACATAGTAGAGGATGCAGCTACTGGGCTGTTGACGATAATCCTCCATCACTTAGGGACTACTCCCAGAAATCACAAACACAGAGATGCATGCAGCTCACAGCCTCACCTGAAGAAGGCTCCAGAGTTCAAGCCTCAAGGGGAAGAAGGGAGAGCTTAACTCACAAAAAGAAGGCATATTACATTCCAGAAGTATAATCTGAGTACCTTTAATTTTATTTTTAGAAGGTGCCCCACCCTTGGAATTTCTGTCAGGGGCTTCAAGATGTCCTGGTTTTGGCTGGTAGTTAATTTTCTTCTGGTTAGTGCTATGTTTTGGATTTAGTATGAGGAAAGTGTTGATAATACACTGGTGTTTTAGTTGTTGCTAAGTCAGGGGAGGAATGAGTGAGCAGCTGTGTGGTACTTAGGTGGCGGCTGGGGTTAAACCATGACACAAGGGTATCAGGATTACTTACCAACCAAGTGTACAAGCAGTTGTACAGCTTTTTCTCATGTTACAGAACAAGTACTCCAGCATCTTTTTAAGCATCCATGGAGTGTAATGTGCTGCTTACAGTTGATCTAAGTTATCGATTGCTTCATGTGCTTTATAATGCACTCAGACTCCTATTTGTCTCTTCATTATCATGCTCTGGTGACTCTAGAGTTACTTGTATGTTTTGCCTTACAGGTAATAAATAAAGCCTTTTTCAAACTGACCAATGATGAAACAGATCAGGCAGAAGATCCTGCAGCACAGAAGGAAGATGGGGTGTACCTGGATGTAACGCTGAACAAGCCGTTCCTTTTTGCTGTTTTGGAAAAGAAGTCAAGGGCAATGCTTTTCCTTGGCAGAGTAACAAACCCTCTGCATGAGGTTTAAATGCAAACACAGGGGATAAGAAAGGAAGGGAATGATGCCATTTCCCATCACCGTTTTCTTATTCATCGGCTATTTTTGTGATGTTGTTGAGTGCTCTACTTAGAGATGAAGCAGTTAGTGTTTGAAATACAGCTTTTTGAAAGCTAACACATTGCAGCATTTCATCCTCATTCATCAGTTTCATGTGAGGTGACACACTCTTCCTCCAGCTTCTCTTTTTATTCTCACTTTGTCTCCCTTTTGCTCCCAGCTCCCTTTTTTGATGCAGTGGGGCAGGGCAGCGTTTCGATGCAAGGCATCGACTTTAAAAAAACAGTTTTATAAGCACAAACAGCATTTACTATAGAAAGGTATAGAAAAGGACCTCTTCATTCTTTAAGAAGCTGTTTAAATTTTTTGTTTGGTCAGTTTTGCAAGAGAGACCGCCTTTTACATTACAGTGAAAATTTTGCAATTATCCACAGAAATTTCTAGCTTCATCAGCAACATTTTCCTTTAAAAAGCTGTCAACAGCACAGGCAGGCTTTGCTTGTCCCACTGAGACAAGATTTTTTGCCTTGAAAGCAAAACCATGCTTAGAGGAAGTTTCTTGTTTCTGCAGCCCAGACGGATACATTAATTTCCTAACTCTATGGAAATGCTAAAAATAGGGCTTGGTAGCATTAATGAACTGTGATGGATAAATTCTCAGAGCGGGACAGAATTATCTCTGATTTTTTTAAGGGAAAAAAAAAAGGCCTACTATTCCAATACAGTTGCATTCCTTAGATTACATCCTAACCTGCAAGGCATTTATTACCACTTTGTAGTAAAAAAAGACACTACTGGATAGATCCCAGTTCTGTAAACTTTAACAAATCCAAACCATATGTTCTTTAAAAATAGCATTAATGGCAGTAATATATATTAGTATAAATGGTGGATGTGGTGCTGCAACTTGTAAATAAAATTATTACAGTGGTCAAGTCCAACTCTTAACAGACTTTGAAATATTAAAGTGGAACCACAAATTTTTAGAGGACTCTTGAATTAGGAACTGAGGAATTGGGAGATAAACCTTGTTACTAAGGAAAGCCTTCCAGTGAAACAAGGATTTCCACCTCTCATCTCTAGATTTGTCTTTAGCGCTGATGGCGTTTAGAAAATAACTGCAGACTTCTCGGGCATAAGATGTTAGATGCATCCTATAGAGCACAGCAGTTCATTATCATCCACGGTGCTCCAAATGTCTATCTAATCTAAATGCACTAATGCCAGCAGCTTGCTGTCGGTGAGGTATATATGTGACAGGTCCTTCTAGCTTAATGGAAAATGCTATGACATTATAAATAAAATAAAATAACACAAATCCCAAGAATACTAGGATTTCAAGTGCTATGATATAGCATCCATGTATTTATCCAATCATACTGTATGTATTTCAGATGCTCTAACATCTAAATATTGTACTTGTATTATGTACAGAAGCAATTAACTACAAATATACAGAGATGGATAGATGCAAATAAACCTACTTCTAAGTTTCTTTGCCACAGTTCAGTTGGGATTTTGCCCCTAACTACATCCCTTGTTCTGGCTTCTGAAATCTGCTCCAAGTCAGATTTATGTTTTTAAGACAGTAAGTTGCATATTATCATGCAGTACAGTTAATGGTATAGCTTTAAGCATGAAAGCTTCATACTAATTAAAAAGTTCATGCTAACTTAAATGTTATCTCATTTACTCACTGAAGTCAGAAGGTAGCATCAGCTACAAATAAAACTTCAGACCACAAAATGTTCCATTTCTATGATAAAGATGGACAATACCAAAAGGAAGCCCCTGAAAACACTGACGGAAAGTTTGGAGCAAAATGCCATTACTCCCAGGTGTGGGCTGCATGTTCTGGAAACCCCATACCCTGTTCAGTGGTTACAGGCAGAAAAACAAACCAACCAATCCACCATCTACCAAACCAAACACACTTTTCTGAAAACAAACTTTGTGGTGAAGACCTCCACTGACACCTTAGAGAAGAAAAGGAAGGAGAAAAGGGCAGAAACAGGGAATTAAAAATATAGAACAGAACAAGTTCATTATTATTGGTGGAAAAAGGAGAGTAAATATTCCACCATATTGAGTGATCCAGCCAAATATACGTACTGCTAGTTATCTTTAGGTGATGAAGTTAAAACAGTCTGGTCTACCGCTGCTATAACTTACAAAGTTGAGAATGCAGTTACCATTTTAGAGGAAAACATGCCGCTGCTTTTCCCCTCCTCAATATTATACAAAACCTCTTCCAGCTAAATTCCTTCCAGGATTAGAAAGGCATATCAAGTTTTCTAAAGGTCCTAGAATGGAAGAAGAAAAAGGCACAAAATCAAAGCTGCATTACTGTCACGAAGTGAAGTGCACTTAAAAAATTACCTAAGGAATAGAAGAAAGAGGATTAGTGGCAGAAGACACCTTCATTAGAACGCACTTACTTACATGGTAGATCCTCTCCTCCTCACTGATCCACAGTATCTGAAAAAGCTAAAATTTGTTTTACCGAAGACAAAGCCAATTCACACCTCTTCTTTCTTTCAACAGAGGTATCACATAAATTCTTAACTGATGTCATATTCCAATGAAAGAAAATTAAATGCTATTCAAGTGAACAAAAATAAAAGATGGGGAACTGACACAGAACTTGTGATGGAGACATTTACAGCAATCATAAAACCATTCAATAATTTTGATTTGCTAGACAATGTTATTTCCTGCCCAGAAACTAAAGCTGGTCTTCAATGAAAAAGAACAGAATTCAGCCTATATCCTCAGCAAGCTGATAATGACATGTGGGAAGCATTGTTATTGCAGGACGATGTCGGAAATCTCATGCAACTTAAGGTGAAGTCACCCCTTCATGCCCTTTTGGTTTGGTACACAGACTGCATCCTTTTCCCTTATTTTGGAGGATAAGACAGCTTTGTTTGTATCCTCACTCCCCAGTATGCACAGATCTCAGAATTTGCTACTTTTGTTACAGATGTTACATAAATTTAAATGTATAGATACATTTATGTATCATGTGTGTACAGATAGACACATTCTGAAATAAAAAGTTGCACGATGCATTTACAATACTACAATCTTAGTCTCAGCCTACAACTTGCATGTCCATTTTATAAGAAAACATTCTTGAAAACAGTAGCTAGTGGTAGGAAGATGTCTCTACTTTCAATTCTTAATAAAAACAAATGAAGAGGAGTGGGGAGACCAAGCTTTCGGGTTCATCATTTAGAAACCTGGAAAAATATAATACAGAAGTTCTTGTTCATAAGCCGTAAGAGTTATGTCCATTCCGTAGAGTGTGCCTAAGGCTGAAGATCTCAATGTCCCTGAAGGAAACAAACAGATCTGGGTATTTGGCAAGTTGGTTCAGTTTGCTGTTTTTCTTCAACAATAAATTTGGATGCTCCCTCAGTTGTTTATGTTGCCATGAAAAGAGAGATGCTAAGCAAATTAGAAGAGCCAAATCCTGCTCTCCAGTACTGGGACTGAATCCAAGTACTACCACATAATTTTAAGCACTGATATTTTCCTCACTGCCCTCCTTATAAAATTAATTTTAGAAAAGTCATAATAGCCACCTATCCTAATTGCTTCAAAAGCACCATGATCACACAGTTGTGTCTTCTCAACTAAACTATGGTCAGTTATCCAACAGTGAGGAATAAAAAGCCTAAATGCTGTGAAAGGTTTGCTCACTACAGCTTCAATGCTACATTGCTATGTATCTCTAAGTACTCAGAAAATTTCCATCATCTCAGCTCCCGCATCCAAGCTCTCTAAATACAGTTATTTTTAATTAAGAAACATGAACTAGAATTCCAGGGCTAAACTTCCACAAGGTAAAAACACCCAAACAAACAAAACAATCAACCAAAAAACCAACCAAAAAACAAACACCACAAACAAAATCTTCCTTCACTCATACGGGGCATTCTCCAATTTGAAAGCCTCAAATTCACGCCCTACTGTTCCCAGACTCTGCTACCTGTCCCTCACCTATAAAAAAGAAGCATCAATAGGCAGATCACTCCAGGTTCAAGAGAGGTCTTTGTTAAGCCTTCTACCATTTTAAACCCTGGTAACACCTTCAAATTTCCTGCTATATAGAGATGCACCTTGTACAGATGTAACTAGGTTTCAAGTTACTAGAATTCTATGTGTATTCAGGTGAGTACTAATAGACAATATAATACAAATCAGAAATATGCCAGTGGCGAATAAATTCTATCTTAGTGAACTAAGTTTTAGTTTGAAGGAAAACAGGTACTCTGAATGTAATAACCTGTAAGCTACTTATATTAAAAATTATTTTCAAAACTTCAATTATGAGCTTTTGTCATGCAGCACTTCTCAACAACGTGATCCATGAAAAAGCCAAATCAGTAAAATGAAAACATTCAAAAACCAAACGAGAGCTAACCATGCCCCATGATGAGGGAAAGCAAGTAAGTGCAAAGCAGTAATGAGAAACAGCAGAATCATGTTCCTGTGAGCACTTCATTCCAGAAGAGCTGGAGTAAAGTTTGAAAGTTTTTGACAATCTGTAAGGAGTTAAAGAGCACAGTTGCCTGTCTCAAACACTGTCAAGGCCACAGAAGCGACTTGCCATAAGATAAGCCACCACAGTGGAAACTTGAGATATCTCAAGTACAGAAGGGAGGAATTTGTGACACTAAGGCCCTGATTCCAGACCTGACAGAGGTGAAATCTAGTTAGTACATCCCAGTTAATGCATCTGGACAAAAATTCCCACTGTGGCAAACTGTGGGAAAGGTCACAACTGTTCATACACAAAGTCAAGCAAAGATGACGTCAAGTTACGGACAGACAGCACCAACAACCCCTGAAGTGCCCCCAGCATGATTTCTGGGGCCTTCCACCAGAGAACTGCACGTGATCCAGTGTTGCATCAGACAGTGTAAAACCCTCACCCACCACGGGAAGTACTTGGGAGTTCCCATCTGAGCCTGAACATATATATATATATATATACACCCATTACACTCCTTGTTTTGTGGGCTTTCGCCAGCCCTGAGGGATCAAGATTGTGACCATCACTTCAACCAAGTCTTGTCGTTGGGTTCACACATGGTGATATCTCTCCTGTCCACTATGTACACTTATGCTTTATTTCTCTTTCTTTCCTTCCCTTATTTATTGATATCTTTATACTTTTATATTGTTATATTTCTATAGATAATAACTGAAATGGCAACATATCTCCTTTCCATTGCAACCAGACTGTTCTAAAATAAACCTGCAAAATATATATATATATAAACATCAGTCATTCAGCATCATTTCACTCCAATCCACCCCAAGGGATCTATTAACAAGAATCTCAGTTATCCCACCTCAGGGGTGGGTTATAACACAGCCATCAATTAATACATTTGATTCAAAAAAGTATGGGACATCAAAAGTTAGGAAGACAATTTATTACATATTATTTTCAACATATAACTTCATTCTTCTACATTTTAAGTTGTACAACAAAAATAAGAAAAACATTTTCTTCTACTTTATTCTATAGTAGAAAGTTTAGAACTTTTAATTGCTTTCCATATAATGGATAACTATGATAAATTCTCAGTCTTTTGGTGAAACAAGTTTATCTTGACAGCAGATACACTGATTTGTTGCTCGAGATACATTAGGAAGCACTTCATTGCTACTTATTTGGTAAAATAAAGCAGAGTTAAATTCTCTGTCTTTCTTTTTGGAACGTCGTTTATCTTCAATCACATGCTTTCAAAAATTTCTAGGATTGTTCTGCTGTAGCCTGGTCCTTGGCAGTTAGAACCAACTCTGTAAGGGCTGAAAAGCTTCTTATGCTGCTTGTTTCCAGTCCCATCTTTTGTATCTAAAAAGACAGAGAAAAAGCATTAATTTTCTGTAAAACATAAAAAACCTCACGAATTATTCTACTTCAAACGTTTAGCCAAGTATATATTTTCTCCTGCATCTATGTGAGGCAAAAACCCACAACTGCATATAGTGCAAAGTATAAAAATATTTGTCTTCAACTTTGCTCAGATAAGTCTTTCTAGTTAATGTAGTGTCTTGCAGGGAAATATTTCATCATCTTCTAGGCAACTTGTAACTAAAGCCAGCTGGAAGTTTTCCAGTGAAGTAGTCAAAACCAGAAACTTGGCTGTAGTTGGTTTTAATTCATTGATTTTCAACTGATTTTTTTTTTCAAACTCCAAATGAGGTTTCTGGGCAAAACTTTAAAGATAAACATGAATACATCCAAGAACAGCCAACAGCATGATGGTGAAAGCATTTCAATAGGCTGCAAGAGCCTATGGTTCTAGCCTTGAACTTCCTGGGAGATGGAAACAACTCTACAAATACAGGGGTTGCTGCTAGTAATTTCTTAGCCAGGAAATCTATTGCTCTGACAATTAGAAAAGTATGACCATGAGAAAAATAAGAGTGCACTGAAACAAAAATCTGGATTTAACTAAAACCATAATGAAACAATTTTCAAAAGGTGTTTGCTGCTGCAACTGTTTGTAATATTCACATGTATCAAGACATCTCCTAAACAACTATGAATAATCTATTCCAGTTCAGTTAAAATTCATAGTGCAGTGATGTTTGTGCACATAACAGGAATAAAACAACAAAAGCTCAACCCGAGGCAAAAGCTGACAAATACTAGTTCTTGTTATTAAGATTTCCCTACTTCCACCCAAATTGTCCTTGTGGTAAGTCTCATATCTGAGAAAAGCATTTGCTCACAAAAAAGCAGACTTAATCTACCTGTTACAATGCATCAACAGCATGTGCTCATAAACAAGACTGATGACAGCTCCTTGGCAACTAATGATATGGACTTGCACTTGGAAGTTTATTTCTATACATGATTTTCAGAAATAAACGAGTACAAACAGTATTCAATTTGATGTAGCTACTGCACACGCTTCCTGGAATATTTTCTTTTTTTATATGCTTTGTTATTTAGGGTTTCATATTTGGCACTGAAAAGAACTTACAGTTGTGCAGCACAACAAATCAGGCCAACATCTTCACAGTTTTTGGGAACAGACTTTGACTGTGCAGAAAGTCAAGGCTGGAAACACCCCGGGAGAAGGCAAACAAAAGCAGGGCCATAAAGAAGTTTCTATCAGATCTAAGGGAGGCCCCTACCCTCTGATCTGTCCACACAGTGTTTCTTCTTAAAGCTTCCAAGCACTAAGCAGTATTTGAATTTTGAACAGCAAGAAATAAAAGCTTTACATTTGTGTAAGAAAGGACAGAAAAGCATGCATTGCTCATGTGGTATCTACAATCATCAAGGTCTCAAATCACCTCCTTTATAAAAGTGTGGAAAAAAAAAAAGCAAAAACCCAAAGCACAAACCCACACCAACAAAGCCTTCAAGACCAGAATCTGAGTCTAGCTTCCCTTTCCTCTTCTATCTCACTCCCTTCCAAAACCAGTAGTAGTAATAAAAAAACCCCTTCTTTCTCATAACTTACTTGTTCTCCAAAATACTCAACATCTAGGGCCAGCTGCAGTCGGATTTTGTTATCATCACTCATGCCCCCGTTTGTACCAACAGGGTTTGAAGTCGCAGTTCTTCTGGCTTGCTTCAACCTTTTTAGGCTCTCTTCCATTTTCTTAACAGAACTGAGCACATCAGATACAGTTTCATAATACCTAAATTAAGGAAGATTAAAGAGAAAGAAAAAATGTCCACTTTTATAGAAAAGCCTACTTCATACACAACACTACGCCACTGGGAAAACTGCTGAACAGTGCTGGCAAGAATAGCTTTCCTTGCAAGAAAGCTACTTATGTTTTCATCATTATCAATTAATCAGTATTTCCATCATTACTTCTAGAGGTCACTCTCAAGATTACTATTCCATCTTGAAGCCGCCTTCTCATCATAACATTTTTGACCTGCTCAAGATGTTTGTACTCAATAGTGACCAAGGAATGCAATTGTTCCATTTTCAACAGCCTAAATCAGCCTCTATTGACACTGACTAAAATTGTTTTTACACACAGGACAAGAATAACATCCTTACAGTCCTATTTTTAAGAAAGTTACAGAAGTGTATAT